GTTGAGGGACCAAATTTAGCATTTAACCATATTATTATATAAGTTAGGGACTTATTTCGGAGAAAATATTATTTTAGGATTTAATAGTCAAAATTATGAAACTTGAGGGACTTAAAAGGATAAATTTTAGGATAAGGATCAGCCATTTTTCCTTCTTTCTTCTCCAGCCATTTTTCCTTCTTTCTTCTCCAGCCATTTCACGTTTCTGCTCTTCTTTCCCGTCCCCCTGCAGCCGAACAAGGAAGCCCATAGCCCCGACGCCTCTCCTCTTGAGAAAACCGGTAAGAGGCTTGGTTTTTGCCTTTCTTTTCTTGTTCGAAAACCAGATTTGGAGCCTTGAAACCTTCTCCCCTATGCAGAATCCCGAATCTGCTCTGCTCCTTCCTTCCTCACCGCCGGCTGCTCTTGATTGTGGGTGTGACTTTCTCTAATTTCTGGTAAGAAAGCAGCCATTAAATCCTCTTTTCTCACTTGAATTGGCTTGGGTTTACCTTAATCTCTCTTGGTTTCTCCAATTTTCGGTAGATTGCGTGATTTTTCTCCTGCACTTGCCGCCAGCCTTCCCCCAAACTGCAGTCCGGTTTTTGCTGGGAAAATTCTGGTATGTGGCAGCTCCTCTAAGTCCAAATTTCACCCATTTAATTGCTGAAATTTAGCCATCTAATTGCTGCCCTATGCTGTCCGAATTTGTTGAAAAATGGGGATGAATTTGGGTAGTAATTCGAGCATAATTAAGCTTAATTCATGTGTAAATTGCTTGAGTTGGCTGTTGTGATTTTTGGGAGAAAATCCCGTGAGATTAGCTATAGTTTTGCCAATTTTGGAAAGTGCAGTTACTGTTCGCGCGTACCAGTTACTGTTGACGCAGAAAATTCTGCAATTAGCTATTGTTTTCTGCTCCTTTTCAGTCCGTTTCTGCTCTGAAAAATATGATGAAATATCCATTTTTCTGGTCTTTTAGCTGGCTGTAGTTGAATTCTGGAAATACCAGTTACTGTTCACGTGTACTGTTCACGTGTACTGTTTACAAATACTGTTCACGCACTAATGGCCAACAATTAACGGAGATTTAAATGTTTAGTTTATAATATAAGAATAAATGTGGAGATGTCCGGTCATATGGAGACTAATAGAAATAGTATCGTGATTAGGGGTGATCCTAACGAAGATTTCAGTTTGAAATTGTGGTAGTGTGGAATTAATTCTTGGATATTTTGATTAGGTTTCTGATCGTTCTGTCAGTTTGGCACTGAGATCGATTATTTGGTTTTATGTGAGTGAGGTAAGTAAATTTATGATAATATCCGTACAGTTTTTAAAAGCATGTTTTAACTTATTTTTGAAGTAGTGGTGGGACTAAACCCGTTTTATACAAAAGTAAGTATGACTGATTTGAAGTGAAATTTTTATGCTTTTCATTAAATTGAGCATGCTTACTTGAAATTTAATTGATTATCCTGATGATCTGAAAGTGATTGTTGAATTATGATTTTTTTGTTAACTTCAGCCTGTTTTGTCTCCGATATGGTCATGTTATTCGTGTACCCACTAGTGGGAGGTTTATAAATGCTAGCACATGTTGACATGTTACTGATAGAACCGGTTCGTTTATGTTATCCTGCTAGTGGGATTATACACTAGTAAATCATGTGCCTGCCAGTGGGAGGTTTATAACACTGGCATGACCTATAGAGGAAACGTCTATTTCGTTTCCATACCCGTATCTGTTTTTTGTGAGTACATATGTTGGCATGCTGTAAGTTTAATAAGGGGCACTCCATATTTTACTTACTGAGTTTATCTCATAGTTTTTCCTTGTCCACCATTTCAGGAAGCGAAGTCAAGGACGGGGAAACCATGGAAAGTGACGAGTTAGAAGGCTATCCATTTCGAGATTGATATAAATTCTAGAAATAAATCATGATCTTGTAAACTAGAGTGTATTTGGAGATTTTATGATATCAAAGCAGATTTTAAAATTTGATCTTCAGATTTTGTGGTATCAAATTGTGGTATAATAAGTTCCGAACCTTGTGTATTTGTGAGACCCTCTCACAAGTGCACGGCGTCTGTTGCGCCTTGAATTTGGGTTTTGGGGCGTGACAGTAATTCTTTATTTTTATCCTCTATATAACTGGAGTTTATTCATTTTAATAATGATAAAATAATTGAAAAGATAAAGATAAAATGAGAAGAGAAAGAAAATGAAAAGCTAAAATAATAAATGCATTTATTACATTTTAATTTAAAATTAATATTTTATTATTTTTTAACAAAATTTCTTCTTCTCATAAAAAAAATAAAGTTTCTTCTATGATTCAAATAAAAATGAAAAATTTTAGTGCTTATTTAATTTTTGAGAGTAATATTTTATATAATATATATATAAATTATTCATTGTTGGATATATAGAATTTCTTTATACATAGGGTGGCATGTTTATTTTTCTTTTTTAATATAGATTTTATTAATTGTTAATCTAATAATTAAATAATTTTTACCTCATAATTTTATTATTATTGTTTTTTAATCTTCCTTGGTTATATTTAATCATTTTTTAATCAAATTCATAATCCTTAAAAAGTATTAACTATTATTTTAAGAAAAAAAATCAAACCATAGCTATTTTTAATTTGTAAGATTTAATGAAATATTATAAAATAAAGAAAAGTATTTAACAAATTTTTTTTTTATATAAGTCTTTACCAACTCCTTTTTCTATAGTTGCTTAACTTGTAAAATTTTATTTTATGGTTTTCTTTTCTTATCCCTTCTATCATTTCCAATTTTTTCTTCTTTTTTTTTTTTTCCATTCCTATTCTAATTTCTTAACTTGTATTACAAAGTATTTTGAGATGTTAATATAAGTGCTCAAATCAAAGTTACAAAAAGAAAGCAATTTGAATGAGATTTTAGAACATTTGAATTCGTATTCTCAAATGTATGTGGCAATAATATTAGATATATATACAATTTAGAAGGAATATAAAGTAGAATTTATATTTACAATGACTAAAAAAGTTAATAATAGTATAATATGAATAAATTTATAAACATAATAACTTCTTGCAAAAACAAAATATTATAATATTTTCATGTGACTTGATCTCTATCAAACTCATACCTTTTTTGTTTAATTTAGTTTCTTTTTTTTTGGTTTCCCGCCCGGTATCCGGGGCGAAGCCCCGACTAATCCGGACTCGACCCGCGTCGCGCACCTGGAAATGGTGGGTGAATCTCCCAGCGGGGGCTGCTGCATACACAAAATCTCGAACTCGAGACCTGCTTAAGCTGAAACAAGCCGCTTACCACTTGATCCAACCCCTCGTTGGTGTTTAATTTAGTATATGAATCAACACTTTTATCACTTTAACCGACTCCAATCTCATAAGTAAAGCTCTCTTCTTAATACAC